AATTTCACGGAAACAAGAATGGAATCACATGAAAACCCACAGCCCTCATGTGATCCCCGTATGGAGTGCCAGTTTTCAATGGATGAGCTAGAGGCGGCACTGACACTGTGCAGACGTAGCACCCGAACCTGACGGCATTACCGATCGTGCCCTTTGTAATCTTGGAGATGAAGCTCGGAAGGCACTTTTACGCATATACACCGACTCCTGGCAGACTGGTATGGTTCCCCAAGTATGGAAGTCAAGTCGCCTCATTTCACTTCTAAAAGCTGGTAAATCTACTTTGGATATTGCCTCAGAGCGTCCTATCGCGCTTGCCTGTTATGTGGAAAAAACAATGGAAAGAATGATTCTAAGACGAATGAAGTGGTATTTAGAGCACTACAAAATCTATCCCGCATACATGGCCGGATTCAGGCGCGGCCATTCGTTAATCGACAACGTTGTTGATCTGGTGACGTATGTTGAACACCAGAAAGCCTGTAAAAGACTTTGCACGTGCCACCCTGTTTCTAGACGTTAAGGGGGCGTGCGATAATGTTATCTATGAATCCATCCTTAGTGCTTTGAAAACAGTAGGTCATCGTGACAAAATATGTATATTGGTCTGTACAGATACTCTCAGCTGAGATCATTCTACGTGATGACAACGAATGGCCCAACAACTCATTATTACAGCAGCCGAGGGGTCCCTCAGGGAGGAGTGCTAAGCCCTACGCTTTTCAATCTAACCCTCACTGGACTACTCGAGCATCTACCAAGCACTGTAGAACTTTCTATCTACGCTGACGACATATGTATTTGGACATCAGGTGTGACAAGGCTCCAGCTTCGCGCCCGTCTTCAGAAGCCTGTTACAACGACGTCATGCCACCTTCATAAATAAAGCCTCAAGTGTCCTGCGGTAAATGTGCAGTGCTAGCGTTCACGCGGAAACTAATGTCTGCTTACAGCATATCAATTAACGGAGAACACATATCATTCAGCAGAAGCCACAGGTTTTTAGGAGTCATAATAGACAGAAACATGTGGACTCCACACGTGAACTATGTGAAGAAGCGGCTGATCGCAACATGTCACATGTTCAAATTCCTTGCAGGAAAGAAATGGGGAGTGCCAATACCATTCATGCTGCAACTTTACAGAGCGCTGTTTATCGGTTTCTTGCGGTGCAGCTTACCTGCAATATCTAACACCGGCAAGACCAACCTGCGCACAATTTAGAGCATTCAAACTAAGGCACTTAAGATGTGCCTTCGAATGCCCCGCAGTGTTTTAACGGCTGAAACCATTGTCATCTTTCAAGACCACTCAATCAAGACGCATATTATTACCGAGACAATACGCATGCACCTCAGGCATTATGCCAGGACCCCTTCCTACCACCTGGCGAGCCTCGCTACATAAAGGCCCCGCACGACATACGATGCCGCTGTCTGCAAGTATCGCTCACCGTTTACTAAAGCGTACGTATTTGCGTCAAAGCCACGGCTTCCTCCTTAGAGCTTGAGTTGGCCACGAGTTTACTTAACAATCCCAGGAATACGGAGAAAATCGGACGGACCGACAGATGCCCTAAAACAACTAAGTCTATTCCTACTGGACCAAAACCACAGTAACTACGAGTACATTTATACATGGATGGCTCGACCACGTCGTCCAGTTCTGGTGGAGCAGTGGTTAAACCATCAGAAGGTGTAACTCGGCGTTTAAAGACTTCACATGCGACGACGTCCAAGACGGCAGAACTCGAGGCTCTCTGTAGGGCACTGGAACTCAACAATTCTGAAGAAATACCAAGTAAATGGGCAGTGTTTTCTGACTCAAAACCAGCGTTACAGTGCCTGCTGTAAATTCTCCGACGTGGATGCCTCGACAAGTTGACCTACCAAACCGTGTAACTTCACAATCTCTTAATACAACAAGGCCATGAAATTCTGTTTTAATGGTTACCTGAGCATTGTGGTATAAGCGGAAATTATTCTGCAGATCATGCTGCTCGCAAGTCACACGAAGAAGCAAACAGCGTTCCAATTCCTTTTTCAAGAGCAACGCGGCGAGACAGATTCGTCAACTGGCCCGCAGTCTCACACTGTCTGAGTGCAACACACCAGCATAAGACGTACCGGACTACATTATCTTGACCCTTCACTACAACTCCGGCCTCCACCAGGCCTACATCGACGTGAAGCTTCGCTTCTCTATAGCCTTTGCAGGGAGTTGCTTTCACGAAAACTTATACCACGTTAATCGGAATGACCGACAGTGCGGCATGCGATGTTTGCGGCACCGATGAAAATATCGAACACCTGCTGTGCCACTGTCTTCGATTTGCCTCAGACAGACAAGTACTTGCCAACACTATGCGGCGACTGGATTATCAACCTATTTCTGTGCATGTGTTATTAAAGCAGCGTTCACATCCCTCGACAGCCCACAATTAAGGCAGTGAAAGCCCTGCTATGTTTCTTGAGAAAGAAGGGTTTGTGTGAACGCCTTTGACTTGTGGTGAACTTCTACACGCTGCAGTGAAATTACTGTCAGTCTCTTCTTTCCTTTTCCCTCTCTTCCCTTTTTCTCCTCTTTCTTGTACCGTTCCCTTATCCCCCAGTGTAGGGTAGCCAACCAGATGTCTCTCTGGTTAACCTCCCTGCCTTTTGCCTTTTGTTGCTTCCTCCACTGTGGCGTGAATAACTATTATATTGTAATTTCTCGCTCGTGAAACTCCATGAATAATTTACAGCGGTGCTCTCTACGGGGAGCTTCGCGCGTGGTTAGCTTCCTTTGGCTCTCCGCGATGACAGTACCACCAATGAAAGCGATGTTCAAAAGAAAACCATGAAATGACAACTGTCCTGTCTTTATTTATATAATTATTTTCAAAGTTCCATTATTATTACTACTACTACTACTACTACTACTACTACTACTAGATAGAACACCGCCTATAGACAAGAGCACGCCTATCTCGCACCGAGACGCCTTCGGCGGTGTACCCTCGCTCCCAGAGACGCCATAATTTATTTGCAACTGCCAAGGCGCGACGATAGTAATAGCGCGAGCTGCCACATGTACTGCCAAGCGCGACTCGCCAGCATGGAATGCAGAGCGTGGGAGTTTAAAATGCGAAAAAGCGCCTGTTCACGCTGCACCCGCTTATAAAATGTCATCTGGGTACGACTGCGCTGTCATCTGATGCAACAACAACCAGCGCAAGAGAAAGAGATTGCTGCGCACTGCCTGTGAAGCTCACAGCGCATCGCAGGAATTGTGCCGGTGCAGTGTTTTGCGATTGCACAGATTTCAGTCCACAACAAAAAACGCCGAGCTCTGTCGCCTTAGGATATAATTGCAATCAGCAGGAAAAACTATGAGCCCAAAGAAGCGTACAGGTAAGTATACTTATTGCGTTTGTTCATGCTCGACTCCATCAGTTTCACTTTACAGCAGCGATTTGCGTGCAGTATGCCTGTAGCATGAGGCACAAAACTATTGCCGTACTCCTTCGCAGGCTGCATGTCTATAATAGTATTGACGTAGTACGACTCACAACAGGATGCACGAACCGCGCATGTTTAGTACAACTGCAACGGCCTACTATCGCGATGCGTGAACGGCGCGGAAAGCATGACTTTCGACTCGGTCGAACTGTGATATGCCTTGACTGTCACTAGGCGAATCTACACGTGCTTTCGGCTGGTGTCACCGTAGCATTTTTAATGTATTGTTCTGGCTTGCACTTTTGCAGCGCCTGTGTGTTCCGAGTGCCCGGCAGGACTGGCAATTGATACACATGCGGTGCACGAGCGTAAGTTGGAACCAGATTCTAGCACTACGTTGACGCCGGCTTACAACACAAATTCTGCCTTGTCACAGCCAAGGCACGCCGCAGTTCGATTGTGTCGAAAGCAACGCTTTCCGCTGTTCGCGTTTCTTTCAATCGCAATAGTACGTACCTGATGAAGCTGCTTCCGTAGTCTGCGATGCACGTGCTGCAGACATTCCGGACTGTCGAGAAATGTCTCCTCGACGTTCCACACGAAATCAGCATGAAATTCCAGCACAGGAACAACGCGAAACATGCTTACAGCCGGACTCGCGTTGTGAAGTTTTGCGTTTGATTTGCAGAGCCTCTGCTCGCCTGGCAGTTAAGAGCGTTGCTTCGCCGCGCTTGCAACAGACGGCGCCACAGCTTTTCAATATGGCAGCAAGCACTGAGCTCGCTGTGTTCTGGTGTATATCACCCTACAAAAAATTGCCGTCCCAGCAGTGCATTTTGTGTTTAGAAGTCAAGGCAACATTAAGGGGATTGGTGTAAGCTTAGACGCGTGAGCCGCAGGGCAACATCAAGGAATCAACACAGCGAGAAAATTTGTTGGTGCCTTCATACAAAACAATTTAAATACCACCCTCCCCCAGATAAAAGGCGTCTTCCCAGCCTGTGAGTGTGTTTAGACGTGAAACCAACGTTAGTTAAGATTAGGGTAAGGATGTAAGCTTAATTTTCGTAAACTGGTTTTTGAAATACGTGTGTAGTAGTGTAACCTATCAACCAAAGCAAAAAAAATAATAATTACATCGCGCTTGGCGCTAAGTAGGAAAATGTGCTCTTCTACTTGGGTTCGGTGAGCAAACGCCACTTTTTGTGCACCTCGATGACGATGCCACCGACCATTTGAGGCGCTAGACTGCGCAGTGGCCTGAACGTTGATGCGCACGCCCACAGCCTGGCCTTTTACATCAACGAGCCTCCACCATGTCACCACTGTGAAGTTGGCTAATAAGCTTCGTTGGTTACCCACCTTCACAAAGCGGAATGACTCGCGCGTTTATCATTATCTTCTCTGCAAAACGACAGCGTGAATCAACAAAGGACCCCTCTGTGTGCCGTGTAACCTGCATTTCGAATAACATCATGTAGATCAGCGCGGACTTACACGGTTTTCAGGTTTGTTACGGCTACCTGCGTCGGGCTCACTCTTTCTTTTTCCCTTTCTCAGGTCGCTGCGAAGATGAATGGACGTACGGAGATGGTGAGTGTCGTGCTCGCTGTCCTGGCGTATGAAGGTCTTGCTACGAGCATTATGGAAGAGAGGACAACAGACATCGAAACAAGGGTTTAGTTTAGCAGAAATGAATATTCCTGCGCAATTTTTATTTTTTGCGTGGAGAAAGTGGCTTAACCGTAAAACGATTGAACTTGAACTGCGCTCGTTTTTTTTTTTCGAGCATTGACGTTAGCATGCCGAAGTGAAGGTTGCATATTTGAAACAATGTTTAGTATAAGCATGCTAGTCACGGCTCTCACATTCAGATCATCCTTTCATAATAAAACAAAACAGCTGCCCATCGTCTGTTGTTGGGCACTTCAAAAACATGACTTAATTGTATTTGCTAGTAATAACAAGTACCAGCAGGAAATCTGTCAGCCCGTCGACTGTTGGTATACTGCTGAGAATGTGCGAATCTGCTAGCTTGCTTTGCGTTAGTTCTTTGTTTATTTCTTAGGCATTACCGCTTAAATACGTCAGCATGCTGGAGCTAGGATCCCATCGTTGCTACGAGGGAATGTTTCAATACAGGACGTCCTAACTATCTCGCAGCACAACAACAAAAAATAGGAATGCCGTTACGAAAAGCGAACCTAGTTTATGTTGTTCATAGTACACTGTTGAAGCCGCTTCTATATTTTATGTTAATAAATAATAATTTAATAATTATATTCGTATTGCAACTTGCCAAGTAAGCATCTAATTACTAGTATGTCAATGATGCATGTGTAGGCATATTGAAATTACATCTAACTGCGCTACTATAATAAATGTTCTAATTGCGCGATCATTTTTTTCGTTGGTAAACAAAGCCCGCGAAATATGAAAACTTCATCATGACAATACTTTCGCGCGCATTAGAAAGCTGCGCCCCAACCAGGCTCACTGTGAGTTATCAATGAAAAAATATGTATCGCCTTATCTGCCCTTACTCGGCCGAAGGAAAGCGCCGCATTGGTCTCATAAAGCCGAGTCGTAATCACAACCGCGCTTTTGCCACGTTTTCCATGAGAACCGTCGGCCGTGAGATCTCGGATAATGATAGCGGTGTACGATCGATTGGAAGGAACTGCCGCAAGGATGGCGACGCACGTTGGCGTTTGACCTGCAACCTTGCGAAAGTGCGAAACGTTTCTCTGGCAACACACGACAGAAAAAGAGGTTGCTTGCAGTAAGATTAATTGAGGGCGCTGCTTTGTTTACGCGTAGATTCGTAGCCACGTGCTAGTTTTTTTCATATTTCGCGGTATTGCTTTATCAACCGGGAAAAAAAATGAGCACCACTTTTTAAGTTGATCATGATAGCGCAGCTAGGTGTCATTTGATAATGCCCTGCATCGTGGTTAGGCTGCCTGCTTTTCTCTTTCGTTTCCCTCTCTCTCTTGATAATTACGTGAGCGCTGGTCAAGTTAGCAATACAACTATTACTAATAATTAGGCCTCAATAACAAAAAAGTAGTGGTGAATCATTCTGCGTGATATGCTGTTGCGTGATAGTTAAGAGGCCCTGCATAAGCACGTGCAGTTGTAGTAACCGCTGCAATATCCTCCAGAGGCGTTTTTTTTTTCTTCTCTGTGCCAAAATAGACAACGGTATTCGTCCCTGACCCTTGAAATTTGAGCACCCACGACACATTCGCATTTGTTATTCCCCTAGAGGAGTGTTATAATGCAAAACCTACCCCACAGCACATGTGTGCTGAATTACCGCAAGGGAAATACAACTCTTGACTGTGTCGACAGAATACTCTTTGTATACAGGACATCAATCTTGTGTTGGTCCTACCGGTGAAAATCAGCAAGACAAGTGTGAGAGCCTTATCCATCAAAGTAGAAAATGCTCCTGCACGCCAACAGTCTGTTTCTGCATAGCTATGTTAGTATCAGGAAAACCGTTTCAAGAGTCCCTCATATGATCATTGTAGCTCAGCGATTAAAGGTGAGTTTCGTCAAAAGATTGCTGACATTAGAGATAAGTAATGTGCTGCTCATTTGTTTTTTTACTTAAATATTCATTATGGGAGCTTGTATAATGAACTAAAAACACGCGAACATTTCGTCGAAAACATTCCGTTCGCTTGACTGCTCTTTTTACCGTAAACACCTAACATACAAAATATCCATACAATATAGTAGGTTTACATGGTTGTTCATCTATGAATAAAGACACCTTGCAACACTTTTCTGTGCCCGGTCAGAAAACACTGCAGATCGGTAGTCGAAGCTCCTGAGAGCCAAACATCGTGGCCCAGTTTGCGCCCTGGAATTTACATATAATTTGCAAAGTCAGAAATATCTCGCTTTTCTCTCCACAAAGTCCGCCATAATTAAAAAGGATTGCGTCAAAAACACACGATTCCACGGCCATTGACTGACTTGAGCAAGGTAAGCTGCATAGTTACAACAGCTGCCGCTGTATGCCGCGACGTGCCTGCTCACGCACTTACGATCACACCGACAGTAAGGCGCGTGTTCGAACAAAAATAAAAAAGGAAAAGTGCTTAAGGTTATGATGCGCGCTGACATACGGTAGTAGCTTCCGGACCCATTGTCGATCCCCCTCCACCCCTTCCCTCGCTTTAATACGCTCGTCGGAACAAATGGGAGAAAGACTTTTTTTGAACCATACGATAAATACTCCCTTTTTACTCGACAGATTCCAAAAAGTCTAATCATGAAACAATAAACTTCTTTAAAACAGTCCTTTAAATGACTACTTAGAAAATTGTTGCTCGATCCCACCTAAACAAATAGTTTGTTTTTCCTCATGCGCTGTCGTAAGGCCTATTGTCATTCGCCAATTATTAGCCCAATGCAAAGCTTCACAGGTTGCCTTTCTCGCTGCCACATCTTTCAGGTGTCGCCCAATGGCCGAATCTTGATTTGGACGTGCAAAACCAGTGCGGCGGCTACTACCAATCACCCATCAACATAGTGACGAGAAGGACAACCTACGACAATCTCGACGTGGTCTATTACGATGGGTACCTCGATCCATTGCAAAGTATATCCATTGTCAACAATGGCCACACGGGTACGCTGAGTGTGAATCATCTGTTCCCCTAGTATTCTGTTTTATGCAATGATAAAAAAAGAAGATAAGCTAGGAGTAGCATAAATACCTCAGAAAAAATATGATAGAAAAACTAGTAGACCAACGCACAGCGGCACTATGTTGAAAGGGCCCTTGAACGGATTTTAAGTAATTCTCTAGACGAATCATTCACGCCATAATTTACAAGAGTCAAGAGACGGAAGAACCAGCAAGAACTGTTGGATCAATTTTAGTACACTGAGTTTATATCAAAGCGGTGAATGGTTAACTTTATCGACCACTTCAGCAAATACAGTTGATACAACTTTGGTGAAAACTCTACAAATATCCTAGTATATTCTCTGTTTGTTTTTCTGTTTCCCTGACAGACGCTGAGCACGAATTTGTAGTCCCTGGTCCACGTATACATGTTTTTTTCAGCCATGATAAGAAGCAACCGTAATCACCTTTTCCATCAGAATGAATCGTGTTATCGACGCGATGTTAATGAGGATTCCTACATTACCGAAGGAGACACCGAATCATTCGCAATATCGTCTCGGGTTGGGTGATGGGCGTAGGAGGAGGAGGAGGAGGAAGGGAAGAAATGAAAGGCAGGGAGGTCAACCAGATGCACGTCCAGTTTGCTACCCTGCACTGGGGGAAGGGGTGAGGGAATTAAAGGAGGAGAGAGAGAAGTGAAGGGCAACGTGTGTGTAGATGTGACCTTGTTCATTGCACGCTTATAAGCGGTCGCGTAGTCCGGTCGTCTTTAGAAAACTAAACAATGCCCGCGTCGCTTTGCTGGCCAGCGACGCGTAGAGCCATGAGCCAAGTATATTCTCTTCGGAAAAAGGTCTACCGTCTAGTGTCTCTAACGTTTCGCGTAGCAAGTTGTGTTCGCTCGCAAAACGTTCACATGAACACAGTAGATGTTGTATTGTCTCGTCAGTGTCGCACTATTCACATCGGGAGCTATCCGCCATTCCTATGCGAAAGGAGTACGCCTTTGTAAAAGCTAATCCTAACCACAGGCGGCACAGTAAAGTTGCATCCTGGCGGGAAAGGTCCGATAGAACTTGAAGCTTTCTCGATGGGTCCAATTTGTGTAGGCGGCGGTTCCTGACACTGGGTTCACTCAGTCAAGTTTTCGACATGGTGTTAGCGAACGAGTGAAGGCCCCTTGCAGCGTCGGTTATCGACAATGTAATTGGGGTTGTCTGGGCGTCCGCGTGGGTGGATCGGGCAGCATTATCAGCAAGGTCATTACCGACAATACCACAATGTCCTGGTAACCACTGGAACACCAAGTCATGTCCTTTCGATAAAACTTCGTGAATCAGTTTTTTTATTTCATTCACTAGTTGTTGATGCTCTCTCTGTCATAAAGCTGATTGCAAGCTCTGAAGATGCCTTGGAGTCGCAGAACACGGCCCATTTTTGAGGTCGGGCTTCCGCGATATAAAGTATAGCAGCACGTAAGGCGGCAAGCTCCGCTGCTATGGATGTTGTCCTATGCGACAGTTTGAGCTTTATAGTGACCTGGTACGCCGGGATGACAACAGCACCTGTGGAGCTGTCAGCCGAGACCGATCCATCGGTGTAAATGTGGGTCCTCTGGCCGTATTTTTCGTTGAGTAGCGACAATGTCACCTGTCGTAGGACCACTGTTGAATGATGGCTCTTGTTCGTTATTCCCGGAATAGCGAGGCACACCTGTGGTTGTTGTAGGCACCACGGGGGTGACGCTGGTCTTTTTGCTGGAGTGAAGCCAAAAGGAAGGCATTCTCTATGGGCAGAAATAATCTTTGAAAACATCGCGTGTGGTCTTTGAAGTGGCAACGCTGCAACATGGTGGCCAGGAACTCGGCAGAGGTGTCTTATGTGGTCTCTCAAATTGTCAGTGGTGATGTATGTTCGAATTGGATGCTCTCTTGCGATCATAATTGCTCCGTAGGTTGATGTGCATCGCGGTAATCCTAAGCACACGCGTAGTGCTTGTCCTTGCAGACTTTCGAGAGTGCGGATGTTCGTCTTGCACGTACTTGCCAGTAACTGCAAGCTGTAGCGCAAAAATCCCAGAAACAGTGCCCTGTATAGCTGCATCATTGACCTTATCGATGTGCCTCAAGATTTTCCGCAAAGGAACCGCATTATATGGACGATGGAAGTTAGCCTTCTCTTCAGGTAATTGCAGTGGGCACTCCATGAAAGGTCCCTGTCAATAATCACACCCAGGAAGCGATGGTTCTTCTGGTATGGAATATTTTGTCCATTGATGGTAACGGAGTATTTTGTCATGGCTCTGCGAGTAAACGCAACCAATGCAACCAATGGTCTTTCCGTCTCCGTTGAGACGGAAAGACCTTGCTTGCGGAGATATGAGCATGTCAGGGTGGCAGCCTGCTGGACTCTTGCACGTACTTGTAGACGAGTTACAGCAGAAGTCTATAGACAAGTATCGTCAGCATATATGGATATGAGGATAGTACTTGGCAAAATTTCACGAAGTCCTACCATCACGAGGTTAAATAAAGTGGGACTTAATACGGCGCCCTGAGGGACGCCACGGGAGGTATAGTAATTGGTGGTAGGTCCATCTGAGGTTTGTACAAAAAAGGACCTTCTCGTCAAATAATCCTGGATTCATTGGAACATCCGACCACCGATTCCAACAGCTTCCAACGAGTCTAGGATGGCTTTATGTGTTACGTTATCATAAGCCCATTTGACGTCGAGGAAGAGCGCCAGTGGTATGCGCTTGAGGCTCTTCTGTTGCTGGATAAATGTTGTGAGATCAATCACGTTGTCAAGAGATGACCTACCTCGCCGAAAACCAGTCATGCAGTTTGGGTATACGTTGTAGCGCTCGAGGTACCATTGTAGGCGTGTAAGTATCATCCTTTCCATGACTTTTCCTACGCAACTTGCGAGGGCAACAGGGCGAAATAATGTCAAATCAAATGGGGACTTTCCTGCTTTGAGTAGTGGCACAAGTCGACTTATCTTCCAATCCTGGGGAACATTGCCCCCCAGCCATGAGTGGTTGTAATAGCTTAACAACTGTCCCCTTGCCTCCTGTTGAAGGTTGGCTAGAGCGGCGTAGGTGATGCCATCGGGTCCTTGTGAAGATGATCATCGGGAAGCCGCCAAAGATGCGTCAAGTTCTTCAATAGTGAAAAGATTGTCCATTTCGTAGATGCGGGGTTCAGGAATAACACTCCTAATGGTGCCAGCGGACAAGGCGGACACACCAGCGATTCGCGTACAAAACTCATTTGCCACTTCAAGTTGGGTGTGGCCTGAATGTAGGGCTAAAGCCATGAAAGGATGTCTTTGTTGGGGAGTCGAGCGCAGGCCACGAATAGTGCTCCAGATGCGTGACAACGGCTTTCGGGGATCCAATGATTCGCAGAATGATTTCAAGCGTTCCTGTTCAAGTTTGTCTAAACGTCGTTGAACTTTTTTCTGTATGCGTCGTGCCAGCCTCAAGTCGCATATTGCTTTCGTCCGCCTGTATCTTCTTCCCGCCCTTCGGCGAAGCGCGCACAGTTTTTCCAGTTCAACGTCGAAATCTGAACGCTTGCTGGTAAACGGGAGGAGACAGGAAGCTTCCCTCATTGCCTCTTTGATGACATCCTCCAAGTTCTGGTCAGGGTCTTCACGGCAGGTATTTTCCATGACTCGCTGAAATTTGGACCAATCAATTTTTCGTATTGTGGTCTTAGGAAAGGAGTTAGTAAGACCCCTTATTCGCATATAAGTTGGAATGTGGTCACTCCCATGCGTTTCGATGTCTGAAAACCATTGCACTTGCGACCGGAAGTTTCTGGATACCAGAGTCAAATCGAGGCAACTGCTGTACGTAAGGCCCCGCAGGTATGTAGGACTGCCATCATTTAAGAAACATAGGTCATGCTTGGAAGCGAATGACACGAGGTTTCTTTCTTTAGCGTTGATCGTCGAACTACCCCAGATTAAGGGATGTGCGTTGAAGTCTCCAGTTATAACCCACGGGCCCGTAGTTGTTGTCAGTATGTCTCGTAGTCGGTCTTGTTCAAATCGTCCGGATGGTAATATGTAGACACTAATGAGTGTGAATGACACTTTTTCCTTTTTAACACGTAAGCAGACATATTTATTGTCATCATGCGGTTGAACTGCATGATGCACATATGTGAAATATGTGCGAATGTAAACAACCACCTTGCTGCGTTCCTCGCACGTTGAAGAATGGGCGTGATGGGCGTAACAACTCAAACTTAACAGGACATAAAGAAGACACGTGACACGTCTTCGTGTGTACGTGTGCCGCGTTTGTGTTGTGTTATACTTACGAACTGTGAATCATTAATCAGTCTGTCAGCTAACGCACAATCGTCTCGCCAACGTTGAATCCTTCACGGCACGCCATGCACTCTCGTGGTCATGGTAGCATTCGCAGCATTTGCAAATGCGTGAGAATGCGAAGTTCAAGCTGAGCGAGGTGAATGATTCGCGCTTGTAACTGTGTTGTTTGTCTTTCGAAACAGTGAAAGTATCGTCTAGCAAAGCCAATAATGTTGGTATCAGCGGTGAGGGCCTGAACGGATGGTACAGGTTCGACCAATTACATTTCCACTGGGGAAGTAATTCCAGCCTTGGCTCGGAACACCGCATCGATGGCTACACTTATCCTATGGAGGCAAGATCTCTCTCTCTCTCACATATATATATAATCTGTGTTTTTCATTTCCCCTATAATCTACTGTTTCGCTTAAGTTCGAGATGTACTCCCTGTTGCAGATGCACCTCGTACACATGAACACGAAGTACAGCACGGGTGAAGAGGCCCTCAAGCATTGGGACGGTGTTGCTGTGGTTGCAGTGTTTTTCCAGGTATACAACCGCAGATTCCAGTACAATGAGGTGATCTAATTTATAATACACGACTTTGCAGCGGCTATCACGGTCTGCAGCTGTTCATAACGTCTCGCTGTTCACTTACTGGGCAATAGAGTTAAACGAGTCACTGAGAGCACATGCTCCCTTAAGGAACCACATACTTTACGAACCACCTACCGCACGCTGCTCCTTTACTGTGTAGTCTAGTTAAAGAGAGCCGGTACAGTAGAGTTACTGTACAGGCTATACAGTACATTTGCTCGTCACAGGAGACGATATGATTATGCGGGTGGAGTGCCGAAATGCTAGACAAGTTATGATGAAATGCGAATCATTAGGACGGGAGAATCGATTTCGGAGCACTCCACGGTGGCCTTCTATCATCGCTACTCCCAGTGGATTTTAGCAGTGCACAAGTTTTTAGCATAGCATAGCCTTGTACAGTATGACATAGCAAGGGAATTGTAAGGGGATGATAAGGTGAGCAGGAGGGGTATGTAATGAGGAAAGGAGATCAAATGCAGAGAGAGAGAGAGAGAGAGAGAGAGAGAGAAAAGACGAAGAAAAAAGACTGAAAGATAGTGAAAGGAAGATGTATATAGAAAGAAAACAAATAAGAGGTAAAAAAACAAATAGACTTGAAGAAAAAAAAACATACTAAGTAAAAGAGAAAAGAGAAAGAAAGAGAAGAAAGGAGCATGTTGAAAAAATAAAAAAAGCTGACACACAGCCATGATTAGAATATTATAGTAAGGGTGGGAGCGAGACAAGTCATCTTACATTAAAAGCGAGAGAGAGAGAGAATTAACTTTTTCATTATTGAATATCGCTTTCTGTAGAGGCGTACTCAGCCAAAGATGCCAAGAGCGTTGTCTGGGTCCTGGACCTTCGGAACCAGCCTTAGCTCATCGGTGAGGCTGGAAGTCGACGCTGATAGAGTTTGAGATTACCAGTGTATGACTGTCACAACCTCGAGGAAAAATTAAATTACAACAGCTGCATGCTAGCGATAGCAGCAAATCTGATATGGGCTCCAGCTCACGAGGACCTCGAAGGCAATGAAATGGCAGACACCATTGTCCGCGCGCTCACTCTCCGGGTAACACTTTCAGACACTTGCGAAGTTGATCCCGAACCGAATGCAGTCTTAACGTGTCGAGAAATCACCGAGTTCTACCGCTTAGGTCACGCAATTTACTCTAATCCCTGTAGGGACCTTACAAAGCCAGAGGGACGCTTGCTCCTGCGCCTTTGCACCGATACACTGCTGTACCCGGCAGTATTACAATACTTTGACCCTGTCTGCACAGTAAATATTACACATAGTGTGAGCATGTCAATCGACCCCTCACCTCATTGAAAAACCAAACCACGACCGAAAGGATTGGTATTGATGATTGATATGTGGGATTTAATGTCATAAAACCACCATATGATTAAGAGAGACGCCGTAGTGGAGGTCTCCAGACATTTTGACCACCTGGGGTTCTTTAACGTGCACCTAAATCTGAGCACACGGACCTACAGCATTTTCGCCTCCATCGAAAATGCAGCCGCCGCCGCCTGGATTCGATCCCGCGACCTGCGGGTCAACAGCCGCGTACCTTAGCCCCTAGACCACCACAGCGGGTAAGAGGGTTGGTAGGCAGCCCTGCTCGCCTGTTCCGTCCTTTTGAGCCAGAAGGCCCTGGTAGACCAAGCCCGAGTCGCGCTGGTAGCCAATTGGGCTTCTGTAAGGAGGATCCCACCTAGTGGTTTTGAGGGGCGGCTTACACCGGCCGTCTCGCACCTACTCGCTGTATATACAAGCAATAAGGTTTTTTTTTTTTTCTCTCTCTCTCTCACTTGACTCACAAAAACACGCCAGATTCTTCCAAACTGCTTCAAATAACGCCGCAGCCCCACCAAGAGAAGAGCTCATTTTAGTTTTGTTGAAACTTTTGTTTCTTTCACAGAGTAGCAGACTCGATCCCTCGTGTCGTGTTTCTATTACAGGTCAGCTCGAGCGACAACTCAGCGCTAAGCGCTATCGTGGGTGCTCTGCGACAGATGCGCGACCAGAGCATCACGCGACTGAACCTCACTTCCATTCCGCCGCTGCGACAACTGATGCCCTGGAATCCGCAGCTTACTTCCGCTACCAGGGATCGCTCACGACACCACCGTGCTCCGAGGCGGTCACCTGGACTGTGATTGCGCAGTCGAGCAAAATCAGCGAAGCGCAGGCACGTCGACAAACGTCCTATCAATGCCGAAGTATCATTTTTTTTTTTAAATTGAAGCAAGGTGGACAGGCACGGCCACTTGAGGAACAGAAACATTGGAGTATCTGGACATTTTTCTCTAATGTCGATGTCCGTAGGCCTTAGAGTCTTTCATGATTAATTTATAGTTCTAGGTTCTGCGATTTATTTATTGATTTATTTATTTGTTTAATATATGTCATGGGCACATTAGAAATCTATGCGTGAAGAGCATAAACACAAAAATAATTTAAACAGACGCTCTCTTTATCCGTGGAATGACAGCGAGCTCTGCTAGTTTGTAAGCTAGCACTCACTTAAATGACTGGGCGTGCAAACACGGATAAAAGAAAACACTGGAGATACACAAACGCTGAATAACTGCAAAGGTGCACAACGCCGTAGAAGAAACGAGACAGGAAAACTTATCTGCGCAGGCAACAGGGGCGAATCCAATCCAAGACGCGAGTGGGTCTATAAGTAAGACATAGTCATCAAGGCATTTTAATTTATCCTCTATATGCAAATTACTCAATTGTTCACTCAGGTATGCGCAAACACTATTGTAGATATGCTTCAGTCATTAGACGCGTTTCATCATAACTCGGCCTGTACAAAAGTGTGCATCCACCGAACTTCGGAGTATACACTTACATTCTCAACAACAAAAAAATTGGTTAGAAGGTGAGCTTTGGGTTAGCGATCTTTTATTTTCCAATAATACTAGATTAACACAGTGATTTTTTAGCTACCTTCTTGTGTCCGTGTTTGCTCGCCCAGCCTTCTATAATATAGATCACCAGAGTGAATGCTAGGTTCCTACCTACGACAAGTTTTTTTTTACCCACTTTAGCTTCTTACCACTTACGATTACCGAGTCCCGTGGAGAAACTACAAATCATGTTCCTCGAGCTTTCCTTGGCTTCGTTCTCTTCGGGCTTTAACGGGCTGTGTCTATAACAAGGAAGCTAACACTTCATCTGTTCCCTTTCTTTCGCTCTGCGAAGGTTTCATCGTATAATTGCAGAGCGTTCGTAGCAGCTAATCGTCTATTGGAATTATGCCGCCTCTGCTCAAACAACCCAAACGAGAACGCAACGGTAAACAGAGATATCTCAGAGAACACCATGTGTGTACGATACGACGGTCCCTAAATGAAGGCTGTTTAACAACGAATCGTTGCGTTTCCGGAGGACGCTACAGGGCACTCTATCCGTGACTGTTATCGTTTCCTTCAGTGCATGATCCTTCACCTTGCACGCTGGCTTTCATTCTTGCTGCGCATGAGCCGTAGAAGCTGTTAGTTCTTGTACATGCGTTTTTTTTTATCACAACTTGTCTGTGCAAGTGAGCGAATGTCTCCTTTGTGTAAAGTGAATTTTGTTGTACACATTATTTAAAACATAACGTGCCACGCGTGGAATATTATGAGTAACGTTTTCTTTCCTTCCTTGTCCTGCACGACAAGACATATACATATCGCGAAGAAATTTGTGTAGTTTCGGTGAATAATGCCGTACATTAAAATAATGTACAGATCATAATGAACGGCGAAGTAAAGAAAAGTTTACGCGAAGACACAACCAAAAGGAAGCACAAATTTCTTACAAGTGATGCTATTCGGCTAATGAAACCACGAGAAAATAGACGATTTCACTTAGAATAAGGTCGAAAGATTCCTGAGCAACCGAATATGTTCGCTTACGTCTTACTAAAGTGTGGGTTTGACGCAATGTAGGAAAATGAAATTTTCTCTATTGGGCCATGTCGTTCACTTTTAACTTTATTCAGTCAATCAATCAGGCAATTACTTAATCACCACTCTGTAAACAAATCAATGGATGAATTGATTGTACGTTTATTATTCGCACCTCTTTAAGCCAGCGTAAACACTTTGTGCAAGTGACTCTCCACAAAATAATGCTAGCGTTGCCCCACTGATATTGAAGCAGCTGTGCTTTCTCTTCTGCAGCTGCAAGCCTTCCGCAACCTGCTAGTGTACCACGGCAACGGAAGCAGCCCTGAGCCCCTCGTCAACAATTTCGACCCGTCACTCCCTTGAACGGCCGCCCTGTTTTCACGAACTTCTGATATGAAATGCTCATACTCTGATAGCTGAGTAAAATGTTCGGCACTGCTACACAACGTTGAAAAGGAGACAAGTGGTTCATCATGAAAATGAAGATGATGGCGATGAATAAACGTAAACAGCCAAAAGACTCTACTATATGTTTCACATCCAGACTACTCTTGTGCAAGAACTCGATACGGCAGATAGAGGGAAGACATTAGAAAAAACGGTTATTATAAAAGGACACGGTAATCGAGCTGAAGTCCTGTGTTCTGGAGTGCCGCTCTGCACAAGGGAAAAAAACAGACAGGTAGAGGCGTATAATATAATGACACTGAAGAACACTACACCTTCGACAAATTTTAAGTAAGAAAAATTGACAACCCCCCCCCCCGATTGTAGCACGAAGCAGGGGCGTATCCAACATCTCATTTAGTGTGTGAGTGGGGGGGGGGGGCGGAAGGTGGATTGAAGTAAAACCGGAAGGAGCAGTTCCTGACTATGTTTTTAGTAGTTACTATCGTCACAAGAATCATATCACAGCATAAATAATGATTGATTGATTGATTGGTCGATCAATCTATATGTATGGTTTAACGTCCCGAAACCACCATATGATTATGAGAGACGCCATAAAGAAGGACTCCGGAAATTTCGACTACCTGGGCACAGCAAATTGTTAATTATAGTGTTTGTGCTAAGTGGTCTCTTTCTTTTATCCTAAACGGTAATAGGTGGACGACAGGCACAGAAGGAAGAGGATGGAACATGTTGACGGGGTTTTTTTTTGGGGGGGGGGGGGGGGAGGGGGAAGGGGGAGCTCTGTATCTGTGACTGGCATGAAGCCACATGAAAATGCATGCGAATATGTCAGAAACAATAACAAAGCTAAGTGTTATAAATTCCATCCTGTTCAAGACGAAATGTCTCATCTTTTCTTGCGGTGTGTCCTTTTAATTTACAAGACATGTGAAAGCTCCCTTTGTTTGTGCAATCACCGGTGTCGTCACTCTGGTTTAGTCCAGTACTTACGTGTGAAGTTGCACACAGGATTTGTCTTGGCGTGGCTTTCACAAGACGTTACACACTTATCATCGGCTGCAGTGACAGCGGTCCCAATTGTGGTCACGGTCAAGTGCCAGAAACACTTGCGCACACATTTTGTACCTGCCCAGCATACGCACAAGAACGACAAAAACTGATTCGTTCTACTGAAGCACTGCATAACAGGCAATTAACTGATAAGATGATGTTGGACCGTACAGCTTGATGCCAACAGTGCAACTGTGTTCGTAAGAGAAGTCACAGCTTTCCTACGATCCAGTGGACTTGATACGAGTATATAGCACTGCGCCAACGTGACGGAACTGTACATACTCCCTTTCATTATCCATTACTCTTTTTCTTCCATTACATCCATTACGCATTCCCCTCCCCAGTGTAGAGTAACAGGCTAGAGCATACTAGTGCTCAGGTCGACCTCTCTGCCTTTCTGCAAAATAAACTTCTCTCTGTCCCAGCCCTTAAACCTTCCGCCACCTTGCGAAGTTTCGCGGAACTGATTTTGCAGAAATCATCTGCCATATTACGACAAAGTTTTCCGGCTTGAGTCTATGCTAGATGGATAAGGCACGAGTACGTTCATTTATTGATACAGCACCAAAATCTAACGGGCCAGCATTTACTGAGAGGCCTTCTGCGAGCTCTTTTCAAAGTTCTCCACGGTAACTCTTCAAATTTCGAAAATCGCTAGCACGCACAAATCCCCCTTGCTGCCTGGGCATGCAGCAGCACCAAAAGGCTCCTGTTCTTGGAAACGTCAGCCCAGGTTAGAGAGCCAGGTACGAACAAGACATTGAAAAATAAAGGGATAAAATAATGAATAATGAAACTAATGCGTTGTTTTGTTTAGTTGTTTTTGTTGATGTGGTGGTTGAACCCACCACAAGAAATATTCCGGTGGTAGTAGGCTAAAATAGGGAAAATAAAAAGGTTGACAAACTAAAAATATTGATAAGTCGCACACGTTATTTTCCTGTATTGTATCTTCCACGGGTGAATCTCGCATCCTGTCATGGAGACAAACGACGCCGTGGTTCGTTGATGAAACGCCGACAATTCTGGTGATCTCTCTGTAAGCCGACATTACGAACTGTGTGCCACATAGAGCCTCATTTCAAGGCACAATGTCTGCTAATCAATGATAATTTCTTGCCATACAGGGGCTCCATTATACCCAGCGGCACCTGTCTCTAATTCAAACTTCTTCAGAGGGTTCAGAGGGTATGCACCACTGCCTTCGATATGATTCATATTCACCAACAACGCCAATCAATCCGTCGCAGAAAGCTTGAAATGTCCAAATAATTCATATAATTTATTCTCGGGAAAACCTTCTGAGTGGGTGAGCCATGGCAGAGACATCATCATCATCATCACCATCATGCTGCGCAGACGATTCCACACAAGTATTGCGACGCTGAGTGGGTATGAGCCATGGTAGAGGCATCATCATCATCATCATCATGCTGCGAAGAGGATGCCATGCAAGTATTGCAACGCTGAGCGCTCTGGCCGGCCCGCGTGTCTTACAGTGAATGTGTTCTATCTCAGTCGTCAAATTTGAGCCCCTATCTTCCACTTTCGCGACTATCACGTACTTTCTCGGGAGAGAAAGAGCGATAGAATGAAAATGTTTATTTACAAGGTACCCAAGGAGAGGCACTCTTACTCCACGATGCCTTGACCTCAGGCAGAGCCCTGGACCCTCTGGAGCATGCTACCTTAGCTGATCGTTGGAGCTGGCCAAGGCTGTTTCCAAAACTCCGTGGTGTGGTAATGGTTGGGATGTTCTTGTGATGATCTTCGGCAGTTTTCTGCCAGCTGTTGAAGGGACCTGGGTCTCCGCATAACCGAAATTGCGAGAAAAATTGAGTAGAGGCTATGCGCTGATTTCTGGTTGGGTTTCGTTACTTGTTCACAAATTTAGGAGTGATGTCTCCTGTGTGGGAGGTGAGTCGCTCTTCTCGGCAACTTGCGCAAGGAAGGCAATTATGATGCGCATGATCGAGGTGCTCGCATGATCGGGGTACAAGCAAACCATTTGACCATGTCATATGAGCCATGCTCAGAAATCACTGAGTGGTGCTCACGCCTGCACTAAATCTGCCTTTAGATAGAGCACTATCCTGAGCTTACGACAAGGTTTTGAAGCCTTATTTGTCATAAAGTAGCATGCTTTAGTCTATATTTTTATCATGCTTTAGTTATTATGTTTGCTGGCAAATATGTATTTTTTCGCGCGCGTAGCCTTCCCTACTGGGACGAGGGGCCACTCGATAAATTGCATCTGTAAATGTATCGACAAACTCTACAGGAAAATATCGACAAAGAAAAAAAATGTACCGGTGTTGGTTATTTACTTCAACAGTTAGTCAGTCAGTCAGTCAGTCAGTCAGCTAGTTAGATAGTCAGTCATTCTGCTAGTTAGTGAGTCAGTCAACTAGTTAGTCAGTCGGTGAGGTAGTTAATCAGTCAGTCAGCTAGTTTCCTATAGATAATAAGCCAGTCGGTTAGCTATAGCCAGTTAGCTATATAGACGTCCGCCAGTTAGATATCGCCCATCAGTTAATCTGCTTTAGTTAGTTAGTTAGTTAGTTAGTTAGTTAGTTAGTTAGTTAGTTAGTTAGTTAGTTAGTTAGTTAGTTAGTTAGTTAGTTAGTTAGTTAGTTAGTTAGTTAGTTAGCAGAATCTGTCGTCCTGTATACCCACCAATTACTAGCAAAACACCTCAAACGTTTCAGTTGTGCTGTGCCTTCACGAGAACTGATAGTTGCCTGAAAGTCGAAAATGGGCCTGCTTACGCGTGGGCTTAACGACGCAAAACTGTTCGTGCGCTAATGCATATCACTTCCTTTTTTTTTTTCATTGTGCGCAGGTTGATCATCGCCGGCCCTGCTGTCCCACACTTACCTTTTATTCTTATTTTCTCATGCGCGTTGCGAGTGGCATGCTTTAACTGCTACTACCGCTCTTCTCAGTGCACTCCTGAAGCTCGTGTATGCTATGATGGCATTTGGGGCTCATGAGAGGCGCGTATCGCAGCTTGTGTGCGGTATTTTGAAACGATTCTTCTTCTTCTCCGACTAGACTCTTCCATCCTATAAAGCGTAATGATGAAAGGCCAACGACGCTCATAATTGCAACTCGGATTCGTGGGATTTAAATCTACCGTGTGTACAAACATACACAACAAGGAGAAAAAAATTGTAAGAGTCATTGCACAATACTATCTTGGTAGTCTTTTCTTTCTTGCATAAGAATTTGTACATCCGCCATTTTTCTTTTCGTTTAAATGTTTATTGTCTGTCTTTTTCTTTAGGCATGCATTGTTGGAACTACGGTGATGAAGGTAAGTCTGCATTTACGTAATGAACGCACATCCGTTCTATTAGTTCACGAGAATTTGCAGGGGTGTGATCCGCCACAGTGCTCCTGTGGCTGAGGCACTCGGCTGCTGACCCACAGGATGCGAAATCAAATTCGGACTGCGGCGGCCATATTTTCGATGAAGGCGTAGGTTTAGGTGCACGTTAAAGAACCCCAGGTGGTCAAAATTTCCGGAGCCGCCCACTACAGCGTCTTTCATAATCATATGGTGGTTTTGGGACGTCAAACCTCAACAAACGTTATTATTTGCAATGATGTGGGTATAGAAGAAAGGGAAAAGTTGAAGTTGGAATATACGCTTTCTTGAATACCCCCCCCCCCCCAAAAAAAAACAGATTTTACACCTTGTGGGAATCGGCTTCATGTGACGCAGAAGGCCAGCGATTGTTTTGGCTGCATTTTTTGGCCCTGAGCTAAGCGTCGGCAGATGGCTCAACGTGTTTTTGTAAAAGTGCTCACATCGTCGAGTACGCTAGTGTTTAGAAGGTAACTTGTGGTCTGATGTAACGTCATACGTAACTTTCATAACATACGTAACTTTCGTTATCGCATTCCTCTGGAGTCGAGAAACGTTTTAATACACCTTGCTGAAAGATCGGAGTACAAATGTGATGTTTGTTAGATTACTATTAAAGTGGAACCACAATTGGCGTTAGCCCGACATGATCCCTGTATGATAGGAGTACACATGAAATGTTTGCTGTACTGTTATAACAATAGATAGCCAGCACTTCAACCATAACTGACGTTGCCCTATCATTATGCCAACATAGGGTCTTTTTTTTAAAAAAAACCAGTTTCATGATCTGGCGCGGTTTAATGGTTTAATTCCACTCAAAATGCTTCTTGGGTTAGGCTTCTGTTCGCATCCTGATCTTCATTTTGTACACTCGTCGGGTGAACGCTGTCGATGTTGGCTTTTTTCTGAAAGCTGTCGCATTCAATTTAACATTATCTGTTCTCGCCGTTTCTCTGTTGAATTATCTCTGTTGAATGAATTTCTCTGTTGAATATGAATTATCGATTACCTGTGGCGCATACTCACATACCGTGACCCATGGAACACGGGTATGTGGCACAGGTGTCTAGAATAAAGGTTCCGACTGCGTACGCGACGGCATTTCTACGTTAGTCACGTCATGACCAGACAGTCTTATTAGTCAAGCCCTTTTGCTTTCCTATGCCTACTTTGATTGAAGGGCCCCTAAACCCCCCTCCGATGTTTTCCCAAGCATTTCAAGTAAACAAGCGCATCACGTGCAGAATGCCGTCGCGATCAACGATGCCACACACCGCAGTGCTACAGGTAGCGTGCGCGCCACAATTTCTTTAAAAAAAAAACAATAGCTTCTCTTTTCCTGTCGCCGCCATTCCTGCCACTGACATGTGTGACATCACCAGTGAAACTCAATGACGTCGCCAATTTTGATGCTTGCGATTGGCCGAACGACAACCAACGACTTCCGGTCACTCTGCAAACAGCTGTTCGCGCGCACCTTGCTGTTCTTGGTCGTGTTGCCGCTTGCGAATCAGCATCTGCGGCCCATAACGCAACCGTCAAGTCGCTAGCGTAGGGGCACCGGCCGGCACGACAGCAACAGCGGTCAGTCAACGATCAGTGCAACCAGACGACACACACAACACAGTTGACGGTGAGCTGGAGCTTCGGAGTGGCGGATCGCGGCAACCGGAAGTAGACGCTGTCTCGAACAGCACGTCAGTGGTGACGTATGCCACGCGAGATGAAGAGAGACACTCAGCTGACTCAGCGAGGAGGGACCAAGCGGTTTTGGAAGAGGGTAGCATAGGAAAGAGGGAAAGAAGCGATCGTTGCGTTTCGATCATCAAACGCGTGTAACTCCGCTATTACGGCACTACTTTGAAAAAAAAAATCTCATGGCTACGTGTTCGTTGTAAGCTCGAGAACAACTCATCACCTCAACTAAATTTCGACCACTGGGTTGTTTAGGGGCCCTTTAACACCAATTAAAGGAAGCGATCACGTGGGCACACAGACGTAGGCGGCTACATATATGAACTTATACAAACATGCCCAACTGGCAGTGATCATGCATGTGAAGACAGAAATGATAGTGCGTTGCGTTTTCCAAGAAATGCTTCTCACTTCATATAGATTGCCTCTTCGCGCACCATGTCTTTCACCGGCTTACAAATGAGACAATTACATCACTCAGTTGTTATAGTAGTATCAGTGAGTTGTAGTAACTTTATACAATATTGTCGCGGTACAACGCGAATAAAACACAGATACACCTTGGGACGACGAAAGGCAGCGTGTCCTGAAAGGCTCAGTCACAAGATCGTCTTCTTCAGCCTCGAGAGAAGCTAGAGGCCCACTACCTCGTGCCCACTAAATGCCCCATCATCGTTA